GCCTTAGGCATGAAAGCCAGCTGGGTGATTTTTAGCCCGTCCCTCTCTCTCAGCTCAACCCACCTCACATGGCTGTTGTTGTGGGGAAAATAGTAGGAGGAAGGCGTGTTAGATGTATCCGCCATCTTGATTTATTAGTAAAAGGCAGGATACAAACCAATAAACAAAAGCCACTGGCTGAGAGAGGGAGGGAAGGAGATGCTCACCTCGCCCCCACAGCTGGATGCATTGTTGATGGTGCGTCATGCACATGCCGTTGTAACAATACTCCTCTCCGTGGGAACACGTTGAGCCATCCAACAAGTAGACATTGGCAGGACAGTAGGGTGAAGCGCCCGTACAATATTCCGGGAGATCACACGATCCAGCTGGCTCCCGACACATGATCCCGGCCGTCTTGAGCTATGGAAAACAACAAGGGAAACAACAGACAGATAAATTTCCACCGAAGAAGTAAACATCAGCCAAGATTCATCTCCGTCATCTGGGCCATCTTTGATGGGATGCAGCGAATGGTGGTTGTGGAGAACAAAAACACAGGAGAGCATAGCCATGGGACGACAAGTTGATGACCAGAGAACCCTCTGAAGGTCTCTGGAAGGAATGGCCATCCTGCCTCGGTCAATCTTAAGATCCCTTCTTCCAAGCAAAAATATCTTCTACTAGCTCGATACTCGCGCTTCACTATGAAACGATGTGTTCGGGGCTTAGTTTATGGGGTGGAAAATAAGTGGGGGGGGGGGGAATTCTGCCTCTGCCTACCAGCATCCATCAGTATTCACCTGGCTAGCATCCTGTCAGTGAGAGAGTTGAGGGCTGTTTGGAAACTGAAAGAGTATTTGATGTGTGAGCAAGAAGGAGACAGCAAGGAGCCTGGGTGTGGCTTAGCTCAACTGTTCTGTACTAAAGCTGCTGGGTGCTAAAACTGAAACTCCTCTGCTTGTGTTTTGCATTTGGAAGAGATTTTTTTTTTCAGGTGGGGAGGGGGAGTAGGACTCCTTAGCATCAGAGTGTGTTAATAATAATATAAGAAATACTAAATGCTCTGATGGTCATTTGGAAAAATCCTTTCTTAGTGAGCACCTAGGAGCCAAGAGGAACA